AAAGATCAGATGGTTGTACATGTGTGGTGTTATTTCTGTTCTGTTCCATTGGTGTCTCTCTCTCTCTGTTTTGGTACCAGTACCATGCTGTTTTGGTTACTGTAGCTTTGTAGTATAGTTTGAAGTCAGGTAGCGTGATGCCTCCAGCTTTGTTCTTTTTGCCTAGGATAGCCTTGGCTATGCAGGCTCTGTTTTGGTTCCATATGCACTTTAAAGTACTTTTTTCCAATTCTGAGAAGAAAATCACTGGTAGCTTGATGGGGATGGCACTGAATCTATAAATTACCTTGGGCAGTATAGCCATTTTCACAATACTAATTCTTCCTATCCATGAGCATTGATTGTTGTTCCATTTGTTTGCATCCTCTTTTATTTCGTTGAGCAGTGGTTTGCAGTTCTCCTTGAAGAGGTCCTTTACATCCCTAGTAATCTGGATTCCTAGGTATTTTATTCTCTTTGAAGCAATTGTGAATGGAAATTCATTCATGATTTAGTTCTCTGTTTGTCTGTTATTGGTGTATAGGAATGCATGATTTTTGCACATTGATTGTGTATCCTGAGACTTTGCCAAAGTTGCTTATCAGCTTAAGGAGATTTTGGGCTGAGACGATGGGGTTTTCTAAATATACAATCATGTCATCTGCAAACAGGGACAATTTGACTTCCTCTTTTCCTATTTGAATATCCTTTATTTATTTCTCTTGCTTGATTGCCCTGGCCAGAACTGGCAACACTATGTTGAATAGGAGGGGTGAGAGAGGGCATCCCTGTCTTGTGCCAGTTTTCAAAAGGAATGCTTCCAGTTTTTGCCCATTCAGTATGATATTGGCTGTGGGTTTGTCATAAATAGCTCTTATTATTTTGAGATATGTTCCATCAATACCTAGTTTATTGAGAGTTTTTAGCATGAAGGGCTATTGAATTTTGATGAAGGCCTTTTCTGCATCTATTGAGATAATCATGTAATGTTTGTCATTGGTTCTGTTTATGTGATGGATTACATTTATTGATTTGCATATATTGAACCAGTCTTGCATCCCAGGGATGAAGCCAACTTGGTCATGGTGGATAAGCTTTTTGATGTGCTGCTGGATCCTGTTTGCCAGTATTTTATTGAGGATTTTCATATTGATGTTCATCAGGGATACTGATCTAAAATTCTCTTTTTTTGCTGTGTCTCTGCCAGGTTTTGGTATCAGGATGATACTGGCCTCATAAAATGAGTTAGCGAGGATTCCTTCTTTTTCTATTAATTGGAATAGTTTCAGAAGGAATGGTACCAGCTCCTCTTTGTGTGTCTGGTAGAATTTGGCTGTGAATCCATCTGGCCCTGGACTTTTTTTAATTGGTAGGCTATTAATTATTGCCTCAATTTCAGAGCCTATTACTGGTCTATTCAGAGATTGAACTTCTTCCTGATTTAGTCTTGGGAGGGTGGGTCCAGGAATTTATCCATTTCTTCTAGATTTTCTAGTTTATTTGCATAGAGGTGATTATAGTATTCTCTGATGGTAGTTTGTATTTCTGTGGGATCAGTGGTGATATCCACTTTATCATTTTTTATTGCATCTATTTGATTCTTCTTTTCTTCTTTATTAATCTTGCTAGTGGCCTATCAATTTTGTTGATCTTTTAAAAAAAAAACCAGCTCCTAGATTCATTGATTTTTTGAAGGGATTTTTATGTCTCTATCTCCCTCAGTTCTGCTCTGATCTTAGTTATTTCTTGCCTTCTGCTAGCTTTTGAATTTGTTTGCTCTTGCTTCTCTAGTTCTTTTAATTGTGATGTTAGGGTGTCAATATTAGATCTTTCCTAATCTTGTGGGCAGTTAGTGCTACAAATTTCCCTCTACACACTGCTTTAAATGTGTCCCAGAGATTCTGGTACATTGTGTCTTTGTTCTCATTGGTTTCAAATAATATCTTTATTTCTGCCTTCATTTCGTTATTTACCCAGTAGTCATTCAGGAGTAGGCTGTTCAGTTTCCATGTAATTGTGCAGTTTTGAGTGGGTTTCTTACTCTTGAATTCTAATTTGATTGCACTGTGGTCTGAGAGACAGTGTGTGATTTCTGTTCTTTTACATTTGCTGAGGAGTGCTTTACTTCCAACTATGTGGTCAATTTTGGAATAAGTGAGATGTGGTGCTGAGAAGAATGTATATTCTGTTGATTTGGGGTGGAGAGCTCTGTAGATATCTATTAGGTCTGCTTAGTGCAGAGCTGAGTTCAAGTCCTGGATATCTTTGTTAACCTTCTGTCTCATTGATCTGTCTAATATTGACAGTGGGGTGTTAAAGTCTCCACTATTATTGTGTGGGAGTCTAAGTCTCTTTGTAGGTCTCTAAGGACTTGCTTTATGAATCTGGGTGCTCCTGTATTGGGTGGATATATATTTAGGATAGTTAGCTCTTCTTGTTGAATTGATCCATTTACCATTATGAAATGCCCTTCTTTGTCTCTTTTGATCTTTGTTGGTTTAAAGTCTGTTTTATCAGAGACTAGGATTGCAACCCCTGGCTTTTTTTGCTTTCCATTTGTTTGGTAGATCTTCCTCCATCACTTTATTTTGAGCCTATGTGTGTCTCTGCACATGAGGTGGGTCTCCTGAACACAGCACACTGATGGGTCTTGATTCTTTATCCAATTTGCCTGTCTGTGTCTTTTAATTGGGGCATTTAGCCCGTTTACATTTAAGGTTAATATTGTTATGTGTGAATCTGCTCCTGTCATTATGATGTTAGCTAGTTATTTTGCCCATCAGTTGATGCGGTTTCTTCCTAGTATCGATGGTCTTTACAATTTGGCATGTTTTTGCAGTGGCTGGTACCAGTTGTTCCTTTCCATGTTTAGTGCTTCCTTCAGGAGCTCTTGTAAGGCAGGCCTAGTGGTGACAAAATCTCTCAGCATTTGCTTGTCTGTAAAGGATTTTACTTCTCTTTCACTTATGAAGTTTAGTTTGACTGGATATGAAATTGTGGGTTGAAAATCCTTTTCTTTGAGAATGTTGAATGTTGGGCCCCACTCTCTTCTGGCTTATAGAATTTCTGCCAAGAGATCCACTGTTAGTCTGATGGGCTTCCCTTTGTGGGTAACTGGACCTTTCTCTCTGGCTGCCCTTAACATTTTTTTCTTCATTTCAACCTTGGTGAATCTGACAATTATGTGTCTTGGGGTTGTTCTTCTCAAGAAGTATCTTTGTGGTGTTCTTTGTGTTTCCTGAATTTGAATGTTGGCCTTCATTGCTAGCTTGGGGAAGTTCTCCTGGATAATATCCTGAAGAGTGTTTTCCAACTTGGTTCTATTCTCCCCATTACTTTCAGGTACACCATTCAAACATAGATTTGGTCTTTTCACATAGTCCCATATTTTGTGGAGGCTTTGTTTGTTTCTTTTTACTTTTTTTCTCTAAACTTCTCCTCTCACTTTATTTCATTAGTTTGATCTTCAATCACTGATACCCTTTCTTCCACTTGATTGAATCAGCTATTGAAGTTTGTGCGTGTGTCATGTCGTTCTTGTGCCATGGTTTGCAGCTCCATCAGGTCATTTAAGATCTTTTCTACACTGTTTATTCTAGTTAGCCATTTGTCTAATCTTTTTTCAAGGTTTTAAGCTTCCTTGTGATGGGTTCAAACATCCTCCTTTAGCTCAGAGAACTTTGTTATTATCAACCTTCTGAAGCCTACTTCTGTCAGCTCATCAAAGTCATTCTCCATCCTGCTTTGTTCCATTGCTGGTGAAGAGCTGCAATCCTTTGTAGGAGAAGAGGCGCTCTGGGTTTTAGAATTTTCACCTTTTCTGCTCTGGTTTCTCCCCATCTTTGTGGTTTTATCAACCTTTGGTCTTTGATGCTGGTGACCTACAGATGGGGTTTTGCTGTGAATGTCCTTTTTGTTGATGCTGGTGACCTACAGATGGAGTTTTGGTGTGGATGTCCTTTTTGTTGATGTTGATGCTATTCCTTCCTGTTCGTCAGTTTTTCTTCTAAGAGTCAGGTCCCTCAGCTGCAGGTCTGTTGGAGTTTGCTGGAGGTCCACTCCAGACCCTGTTTTCCTGGGTATCACCAGCAGAGGCTGCAGAACAGCAAATATTGCAGAACAGCAAATATTTCTGCCTGATCCTTCCTCTGGAAGCTTCATCCCAGAGGGGCACCCACCTGTATGAGGTGTCAGTCGGCCCCTCCTGGGAGGTATCTCCTAGTTAGGCTACACGGGGGTTAGGGACCCACTTGAGGAGGCAGTCTGTCCATTCTGAGAGCTCAAACACCATGCTGGGACTACCACTGCTCTCTTCAAAGCTGTCAGACAGGGTCGATAGACACATGTATCTTAAGAGAAACAGATGAGGCTCAGCATGGTGCTTCATGCCTGTAACCCCAGCACTTTAAGAGGCTGAGGTAGGAGGATCACTTGAACCCAGAAGTTCAAGACCAGCCTGGGAAACATAAGGAGACCCTATCTCTATTCAGGAAAAAAGAGAGAGAGAGAGAGAGAGAGAGAAAAGTGAAAAACAGGAAAAAAAAACTTAAAAAAAAAAAAGAAGAGATAAAAAGAACTCAAGAGAAACTGACAAATATTGAAGGAAAGCAAAGAAGATCGTACATACAGATAATAAAGTCCCTAAAAACACCACAAGAAGGGAACAGAACAGACACTAAAAACTATAATTCAAGAAAACTTTCCTGAAATAAAAAAAGATTCCAGACTTCATATTAAAGCAGTAGACCTCATCCCTGAGGATATTTACCCAGAATGACCAGTACCAAGACATTCCAGTAAAATTATTGTACTTTAAATAAAAAAGTCTTTAACTATAAAGAAAATTAGAGTACAATATTTAAGAAGGGAAAGAAATTCAGCTTATTATCAGACTCTTCAACATCAATATTTTATGGTAAAGGAAATGGAATTCACATATTTAAGATGCCCAAGGAAAGAAAAAGTCGAGGATTTTATAGCCAGTAAAACTGATCTTCAATTGTAAAAGGCACAGATAAGGTCAGAATCGCCATGGCCAGCTATCCGTACCGGCAGGGCTGCCCAGGAGCTGCAGGACAAGCACCAGGAGCCCCTCCGGGTAGCTACTACCCTGGACCCCCCAATAGTGGAGGGCAGTATGGCAGTGGGCTACCCCCTGGTGGTTATGGGGGTCCTGCCCCTGGAGGGCCTTATGGACCACCAGCTGGTGGAGGGCCTTATGGACACCCCAGTCCTGGCATGTTCCCCTCTGGAACTCCAGGAGGACCATATGGCGGTGCAGCTCCAGGGGGCCCCTATGGTCAGCCACCTCCAAGTTCCTATGGTGCCCAGCAGCCTGGGCCTTATGGACAGGGTGGCGCCCCTCCCAATGTGGATCCTGAGGCCTACTCCTGGTTCCAGTCGGTGGACTCAGATCACAGTGGCTATATCTCCATGAAGGAGCTAAAGCAGGCCCTGGTCAACTGCAATTGGTCCTCATTCAATGATGAGACCTGCCTCATGATGATAAACATGTTTGACAAGACCAAGTCAGGCCGCATCGATGTCTACGGCTTCTCAGCCCTGTGGAAATTCATCCAGCAGTGGAAGAACCTCTTCCAGCAGTATGACCGGGACCGCTCGGGCTCCATTAGCTACACAGAGCTGCAGCAAGCTCTGTCCCAAATGGGCTACAACCTGAGCCCCCAGTTCACCCAGCTTCTGGTCTCCCGCTACTGCCCATGCTCTGCCAATCCTGCCATGCAGCTGGACCGCTTCATCCAGGTGTGCACCCAGCTGCAGGTGCTGACAGAGGCCTTCCGGGAGAAGGACACAGCTGTACAAGGCAACATTCGGTGCTGCTTCGAGGACTTCGTCACCATGACAGCTTCTCGGATGCTATGACCCAACCCATCTGTGGAGAGTGGAGTGCACCAGGGACCTTTCCTGGCTTCTTAGAGTGAGAGAAGTATGTGGACATCTCTTCTTTTCCTGTCCCTTTAGAAGAACATTCTCCCTTGCTTGATGCAACACTGTTCCAAAAGAGGGTTGAGAGTCCTGCATCATAGCCACCAAATAGTGAGGACCGGGGCTAAGGCCACACAGATAGGGGCCTGATGGAGGAGAGGATGGAAGTTGAATGTCCTGATGGCCATGAGCAGTTGAGTGGCACAGCCTGGCACCAGGAGCAGGTTCTTGTAATGGAGTTAGTGTCCAGTCAGCTGAGCTCCACCCTGATGCCAGTGGTGAGTGTTCGTTGGCCCATTATCGTTACTACCTGTGTTCCCTCACCAGGCCATCCTGTCACACGAGCCCATTTTCTCCAAAGTGGAATCTGACCAAGCATGAGAGAGATCTGCCCATGGGACCAGTGGCTTGGATTCCACCACACCCATAAATCCTTGTGTGTTAACTTCTAACTGCCTGGGGCTGGCCCTGCTCAGACAAATCTGCTCCCTGGGCCCCTCTGGCCAGGCTCTGCCTCCGCGGCTGGGACCCCTCACTTGCCTGCCATGCCCTGCTCGGCTTCAGTCTCCAGGGGACAGTGGGCACCTCTCTCTGCCAATACTTTTTTTAATTTGCATTTTTTTTCATTTGGGGCCAAAAGTCCAGTGAAATTGTAAGCTTCAATAAAAGGATGAAACTCTGGGGAAAAAAAAAAAAAAAAGGCACAGATAAATGTTATCAACACACAATAAATCCCTTGCCTCACATCCCCCAGTTCTAAATTTTTATTGAAAAGGTCTAAAAATAAGGCCCAACCTCAGTAGTAATGATCATCACTAGCAGATTGTGGTCTTGACACACAATTTTGTATTAGGGTTCTCTAGAGGGACAGAACTAATGGGATAGATGTATATATAAGGGGGAGTTTATTAAGGAGTACTGACTCACACAATCACAAAGTGAAGTCCTACAACAGGCCACCTGCAAGCTGAGGAGCAAGGAAGTCAGCCGAGTCCCAAAACCTCGAAAGTAGAGAATCTGGCTGGGCGTATTGGCTCACGTCTGTAATCCCAGTACTTTGGGAGGCCAAGGCGGGTGGATTACCTGCAGTCAGGAGTTCGAGACTAGCCTGGCCAACATGGTGAAACCTTGTCTCTACTAAAAATACAAAAATTAACCTGGCATGGTGGCACACGCCTGTAATCCCAGCTACTCAGGAGGCTGAGGCAGGAGAATTGCTTGTGCCCGGGAGGCAGAGGTTGCAGTGAACTGAGATCGTGCCATTGCACTCCAGCCTGGCTGACAGAACAAGACTCTGTCAAAAAAGAAAGAGAGGGAAGGGAAGGGAAGGGAAGGGAGAAGGGAAGGGAGAAGGGAAGGGAGAAGGGAAGGGAGAAGGAAGGAGAAGGGAAGGGAGAAGGGAAGGGAGAAGGGAAGGGAGAAGGGAAGGGAAGGGAAGGGAAGGGAAAAAAGAAAAGAAAAGGGGGGTGAGGGAGGGAGGGAGGGAGGAAAGGAGGGAGGAAGGAAGAAAGAAAGAAAGAGAAGCCAAAAGTGCAATCTTCAGTCTGTGGCTAAAGGCCCAAAAACCCTGGCAAACCAGTAACGTAAGTCCAAGAGTCCAAAAGCTAAAGAACTCAGAGTCTGATGTTCGAGGGCAGGAAGCATCTGGCATGGGAGAAAGATGAAGGCCAGAAGATTCAGCAAGTCTGCTCTTTCCATCTTCTGCCTGCTTTATTCTAGCCACGCTGGTAGCTGATTAGAATGAGCTCAGATTGTGCCCATTCAGATTGAGGGTGGGTCTGCCTCTCCCAGTCCACTGGCTCAAATGTTAACCTGCTTTAGCAGCACCCTCACAGACACACCCAGGAACAATACTTTGCATTCTTCAATCCAGTCAAGTTGACACTCAATATTAATCATCACAAATTTCTTATCCAAAGTAACCAGTGATTCTCAGAGAAATGGCTCATTTTATGTCTGGAGCAGGAAATATATGAGATGAGCCTGGAACACTTCTTCATGCCAAATGATAAGGAAACTAAAAAACCACTACGGTCATGTCCAAAGGACTTAGGATCAACCCTGAAGAAGCTTCCACTGACCAAAGATGGGGGACACCTTGAGCTTCACTGATGATAATAATTGCAATAGACCAGGGGTGTCCAATCTTTTGGCTTCCCTGGGCCACACTGGAAGAAGAGTTGTCTTAGGCCACACATAAAATACACTAACACTAACAGCTGATGAGCTTAAAAAAAAATTGCAAAAAAAATCTCATATTTTAAGAAAGTTTACAAATTTGTGTTAGGCCACATTCAAAGCTGTCTGGGCCGCATGCAGACTGTGGGCCGCAAGCTGGACAAGCTTGCAATAGACTAAAACCATCAACTATATTTAAACCTATGGATTCATAATGATATTTTTAAAAATGATTGGTCACCCTCAGAGGATGATAGGGAGCTAATTCATTGTCTTGAAAACTGGTAGGTAAAGGGGGAAAACTCCAGCACTAATCCAGCCTTTCCCACAGGAACTGCACCACTGGGTAAACAAATAACAAACAAGGGTAAGTTTCCCTTTACAAAAGCATCCCAACTAATAAATGGAAAAAAAAAATGATAGAATATCACCATTCTGCAGCCCTCAATAAAGTACGTATGAATGGTTACAAACATAAAAAGAGAGACCATTAGATATTATGCATTTCCTATAGTCATGCATAACACCACCAATAATCTTGCCAAAGAAACTGAACCTGGCTTCTAATCCAGTCTCTGAACTACCTGTCAATTTGTAGAAAACACAGAGGTCTGAGGATTATGCTTAACTGCACCATGAGTATGTAATCAACAAAACTCAGACTATGGGAAACTCTACAAGCCGAATGGCCTGAACTCTTCTACAGGTAAATTGTAAAGAAAAAAAAGAGGGATGGAGGAAGAATTTACTGAATAATCATGGCTTCACAAAATTATCACATTTTTTTAAATGAGCAAGACTAGAGTATCTTAAGATGTACATTTGGACTTTAAAAATAAACTTTAAAAAGCAAGTAAATGATTACTACAAAAGTCAAGAGAGTGGCTACTTATAAAGAGATAGGGGTAGGCAATTGGGATGGGGGAAAAGGGCACAGGTTCTGGGGTGGGTGGCAAAGTTCTACTTCTTAACTCGGGTGGCGTTCACAATAATTCATTAAGCTGTGCATTTGTTAGGTGTGGGTTTTTGTATCTGTGTTTTATTTTTCAATAAAAAAAGTTGAAGTATGCTTAAGTAAATTGAGAACTTTGACTCACAGAGTTGATGGTAGTATAAACTGATAAAGGTTTTCATAAGGCAATTTAGCCATATCCTTCTCTATTTCAAATTCATATTGGTCCCATGTGCCTCATGGGTTTGGAGCAAATGAAGTCATGAATGTCACTGTGGATGGATAAATGTGAAGGACAAAGATAAACATCTAAGATAAACTCGGGCTGACCAAGCCCCTACTAAGTGCCAGGGACAGTGCTATGCAAGGCTCTTTACGTCAACTCACTGAACCCTTTACACAGGTCTGTGAGATAGTAATAGTCATTTCAGATGTGGCACCCGAGGCTCAGAGAGAGGTTCAGCAACTTACCCAGCATCACCCAGTCCACAAGTGAAACACCCCTTCATTTCAGAAGTGAATACTCCAGAGGTAAGAAAATAAGCAAGCAACAGCCCTACCCTGCTAACCTATCAAACAACAAAGGATGAAATCAATGCTTTTACTGAACAAAATGGAACGTTCTTGGTAATGTGTAAAAGCAAGAAGCCCAGAGGCCTTGCATAAGAAGTTATCCTTTGTATAAAATGCAAGTAAAAACTCATTCGTATCTTTCCAGTAATGTCAAATATATATTATAATACTTGATATAAAATTAAATCATTCTGCAATTTTCAAATGCACACATATATGTTAGGTTTTATTTCAAGTTGAAGGGAGTCAAAGTAATTCCACCCAATAGACAACTAAGTTAACTCCCAGCTGAAGGCTCAATGTACTCACTGCATGAGCAGGAACCCTCCAGCCTTCCAGCAACTGAATAGCCCTCCTAAATCCTCCGGAGAGGCCTGCATCCTGGCCTCACAGAAACAGGTAGCGTTTTGACTGGTGACTTTCTGGAAACTAACACCAGGCAGAATTCTGACAAGAGGAGGACAAGCTGGAAGGAAAGAGAATTCACAAACATGAAAGTCGGTCAGGCAGGTCCCCAAGGGAAATGCCATTCATTTCAGAGGTCACTCAGAGGAAGAAGGAGCACTGAACTGAGAGTCAGACCACCTGGGGTCTGGACTGCCATTCCCTGGCTCTGTGACCTCAGATCAAGTCATTTAACATTTCTGAAACTCAGCCTTCCCAGGGGTATAGAAGGGTTAATAACACCTGCCCTGCCTATCTCCCAAGGCTGCTGTAGGGATCAGATGAGAAAATAATAACAGCTGGCATTTATTTAATGCTTGCTATGTGCCAGGCAATGGGCCATGTGCTTTATATGTCATAGCACCTCTTATTTCTCCATCAGCCCTCTGAAGTAGCTTTGATTGTTGTCCCTCTTTTACAGGTGAAGAAACTGAGACTTGGAGAGTTTAAATAATTTGCCCAAGTTAAGGCTGACATTAAACCAAAGTAGACTGACTCCAGGTTCTGTGTTCTTAACTCTGATGCCACACTGCCTCCTAGAGCACATCTCTAGAAGGACCTTGTGTACTTAACACTCTACAACAGAAGATGGCAGTATGGTATGAACTGTCACCTATAACACAATTCCTCCAAAAGTGAAGCAGAGGGATGCTTCAAGGACACTTGTAAGCAAAGATTGAGGAATGTAGGGAGATTCCAGGATATAAGTCCTCCAGATGCTCAGTCAGATGAGACAGACTCTGGTAAGTAGCAGGAGGGGGCATTATATCCTCCCCCCAACTCCAACCCCATCCCTGAGAGCTAGGCTCTCTAGAGAGAATTTCCAGTTTCTGGGATTGCATGAGATAGTCCACTTTTTGCAGAGGAGACAAAAAAAGACCTTTGAGCACAGAGTCAAGGCCTTTGTCACTTTCTAGTGATAAAAGACAGGGACCCCACAAAGACACTGGAAGAGCATTGGGCACTGTCATAGAAAGAGCATTAAAGCACAAATCAGGATGCCTATGCTCAAGTGTGAAGACCTGGATCCCAAGCCCAGCTCTAACATTAATTAACAAGTCATTTAACCTTGGACAAAACCTTCCCACTGTCAGGAATAGATGAACTTCTAAGGTACTCAATAAACATTTGATTCCTACAACCCTATCTTCTCTACCTTAACTGGCCCATGGGCACCGGGATGAAGGGAGATAAGTCAGCAGTTATGAAGTGCCTGATATGTACAATGTACAGTCCAAGTCTTAAAAATAATAGTAGGAGTAATACATATGAAGAGCTTACCCTGTGTGGGACCCAGTGCTAAATGCCTTATCAATGTAGCAATGCTATGGTAAGAAAAGTTAAAAGACAAAATGATTACCCCATGGAAATAAGACGAAATGATTACCGTATCCTTTGAAAGTCATAATAGAGCACTGTGTAAGAAGGAAGAGTCACAGTAGCATTTTTTTCTTTTTTTTTGAAACAGGGTCTCACTCTGTCACCCAGGCTGAAATGCAGTGACAGGACCACAGCTCATTGCAGCCTTGACCT